AGTTTGATTTCTTGGGTCTTTTGTAATTACGAAGTTTTGTGTTTCTTAATGTATGTCATGGGTTACTGTGCTTAAATCTCATGAATATCAACCATAGCGTCTTAAAACGGTGAAAAATGCATGTTTTGACGCTATAATAATGTTAACATATAAACACTTTTTACATACTGCACATTAAATTACCCTAGAATCACCGAAAACGAAGGGTAAGCATAGTTACCATAACCGCATACCATGCTTATGTGATGTAACTTATATAATAACCATAACAATGTCTGCACTTCTCTTAAATGTTGCAAAACTATTACTTAATTCACAATTTTGTATAAATCCTTACATCACAATACAATGATTATTGATTACAAACTCCAATCAATACCGAAATCACAGCTGCAGCGTCGCATTCGCATAATTTGCTGTAATAATGGTATAGGTCTATGGTAATGGTTAACCTGAGGGTAGGCGGGGCAACGGTCCTCATGGCTCGAGTAAATGGAGCTTTGTTTTTCTATTGTTTACCATCGATTTTCTTGCTCTTGTATTGTCTCGATTTTGTTTGGAGCGAGTGTTGCCACCAAGTTCGTTCACTGGTGGAACATCGGGTTTTCCTATTCAAAATAAGCATGAAACGCCACCAAATTGAAGGTCAATGGGAAGGATTTCGCAAAATATTAGAGTTTAAAGACACAATACACAAAAAAGCACATCTCTGGAAACGAAAAATATCAGAAAAGGGGGGAAAAAGCTGTACAGTATACAACAACTACATCTATGCCTTTCCAGCGCCAGATCACATGTTCATGACCCATTAACACTGATCTCAGGCATGAGGGACAGCGGGAATACCCGGTACAGTCAGTGGCGTGTCCGGGGAATACTTAACGAATGACTCCCGGATTTCAGTCTTCAAAAGCACCTTCCCTCTCTCTCTCTCTCTCTCTCTCTCTCTCTCTCTCTCTCTCTCTCTTCTCTCTCTCTCTCTCTCTCTCTCTCTCTCTCTCTCTCTCTCTCTCTCCCTCTCTCCCTCTCTCCCTCTCTCTCTCCCTCCCCCCCCCCTCTCCTCTCTCTCTCTCTCTCTCTCTCTCTCTCTCTCTCTCTCTCTCTCTCTCTCTCTCTCTCTCTCTCTCTCTCTCTCTCCCTCTCTCCCTCATCTTCTCCCTCTCCTCCCTCTCTCTCTCTCTCTCTCTCCTCTCTCTCTCTCTCTCCCTCTCTCTCCTCTCTCTCTCTCTCTCTCTCTCTCTCTCTTCTCTCTCTCTCTCTCTTCTCTCTCTCTCTCTCTCTCTCTTCTCTCGTGTGTGTGTGTGTGTGTGTAAAAGAGAGAGAGAGAGAGAGAGAGAGAGAGAGAGAGAGAGAGAGAGAGAGAGAGAGAGAGAGAGAGAGAGAGAGAGAGAGAGAGAGAGAGAGAGACAATCAGACAGACAGACAGAGAACTGAGTAGGAGGGAAGACACGAACAGATCAATCCCATTTTACAAACCTTATCCATCCTTCCCGGCGCAGGTGATCAGCTCTTGGGTCTGATTATTTTCAACATTGGTTCGTCTTTTCAAATATTTTTTTTTCCTTTTAGGCTTTACTGGTTATTAACGAATCTTTCTCTTCCTTTATCTCCCCTGACTGAAAAAAAAATTAGTGCGAATTTGAATGAATCCTTATTTTGAAAACCCTAATAGAAATAAATAGAAGATGTAAATATAGAAATAAACCTGAGAGAGAGAGAGAGAGAGAGAGAGAGAGAGAGAGAGAGAGAGGAGAGAGAGAGAGAGAGGAGAGAGAGAGAGAGAGAGAGAGAGAGAGAGAGAGACAGAGAAATAATATAAATAAGGGATGGAAGGAGAAACGTAAGTGGTATGGTATATTGGCATTCGTTCTTGTCTCGTTTTCTATACCAATATTTTATGCATTATATAATAATGATAGTAATGATAATGGCGATAATGATAATGATGGGGATTATGGTGATAATCATGATAAAGGTGATACTATGAATAATAATGATAATGATTATAATAATGATAATAGTAATAATAATAATCATTATTAATATTATTGTTGATACTATGATATTAATGACAATAATAATAATAATGATAATAACAATAATGATAATGATATCAACAATGATAACAATAATGATGATTATAATAATAATAATGATAACAATAATGACTGATGACAATGATAACAATGATAATGATAATAATAATGATAATATTAATGTTGATATCATCAATGATGACAAAACAACAATGATACTACTACTAATAATAACAATAATAGTATCAATACTAATGAAGACAATAAAGACAACAACAACAATAATGATAATCATAATGGCAATGATGATAATGATAATAATAATAGTAGTGATGATGGTGGTAATAAAAATGATAATAATGATAATAATAATCGTAATAATTATTATATTAATAATAATAAGTGGTAATACTGATAATGATAATAATGATAATTTCTATTATTATCAAATAATAATGATAATGATGATAATAATAAAACAGCACTATCATCGATAAGATTACACATCATCATTACATTAAGATAATGAAACTTAAGAAGAATAACAGTGAGAACAAATATTCCAATGATAGCAAAAGCAACAGTGATAAAAGAACAAAAAATACACAAGGAAAAAAACGGCATCACTGTTTCTCTGCTTCTTACCCTTTGTCCATTTTTTATCAAATCTTAATTTTCCTATTTACCTTCTTTTCCTTCTTACACCAGGTGCGGGAAAAACACATCTCCTGTGATGTTACAATACACGCTTTACAATATACGCAATCGCTAATGATTAATGGCTAAAACAAATTAATGTGCTAGACATCAGAGGTCATATAGCACCAAGGTAAAGTATTGTGGTGACAAGGGTAAAAATGAGTTCATAATTACGATAAACTGCGTTAGATGTCAAAGGTTATCGTGTTACAGGATAGCATGGTAGTGCAAGGGGTAAAGGTAGAGGGGGACAATATAAGCAAGGGTCAACATTTATACTTGGGGTATACTGAAGAAAGTGTTTGAGGAGCACACATAGCGGGTATGTATTTTTAAATAGCGTAAGGACAATGCCACCGGTTCCATTTTGCCAAACCACACGCCGGTGCTAGCGATGAGGCCTTTGTCTGCAGTATTTGCAATAGTCTGTCAGAGTCTTCCGTCTGTTTGGCGAACGCCGTTTCAAGGCTCAGTGATATTCATATTGACTACACTCACAATTATAGGTAAGCAATGATGAACTAAAAGGAAAAGAGAAAAACAAATTTACAGTATCTAGTAATGACTGTGACTGCAACCATCTTATTTCGTTAATTATAAGCTGAGAATTACCCTTTCGCGCTAAATGTGGTTCCATTGTGGTACATGAGGTTAATGTTTACAAAGCAAAATAAATGTGCTAAACAACTATAGGTGCGGTAGCGGAAAGGTAGAGAGGGTAAAGGAAAAAGTTGATGATTAAATGTGCTACAAGCCAAAAGTCGTACACTAGTTTAAGATAACATGGCATTGAAAACCGATCTATTTAAATAGATATACAAGTGTATAGACCTTGGCCAGAGCCTAACTACTTACGTTTCATAACTTAAACTGTGGTCTTGGCAAATGCAATCCCAAAAGAAGTGGCGGAACTCACACTTTTTGTTTACGTCTTGTACAATTCCTTCAAAGTACTCCTCTCTGATATTGATTACATATATATTGAAATAACTATGACACTACGAATGGAGAACGTCTTGGCAAAGTTTTCATAATAAAATGTAAATTCAGTTCCCTCCATTACTTAAGCTGCCCTTTCATGTTTTATTTTAATTTCTGGTTTAATTAATTGCCAATGCACTTCATGAAATATAATTTTAATAACTACTTCCTGGCACATTTGTAAGAACTTATTATACATATTCTGGAATGTTATATATAGTGTCACATACGTATTGGAGATTGAGATATATGGGTACTTTAGGGTGCTTGAAATTACACTTTAACCAGAGTTGTGAAGGGTATATCTTATGAAAGAATTTTCCCAGTATTTCTGTTACATTCTATTAGTGAGTATTCAGAATATTCTATTCATTCGAGTGACTATTTCTATATGAATCAGCTTGTGGGATTCATAGACAATAGATAATATAACCATGTATTGCAACCATTACTGTTGTGTTGTTTTTGCGATTTGTACAAGAGCAACAATACTATACAAACAAAAGCCTGCAGATTCAAAGTCCAAGAGTGAGTTCTCCTCTTACCATGTTTTAGTGGAATTAACAACATAGTTGGTAAAATGTTCTCTTTGTTGATGCAAATGCAAAAAACAACTTTGTTATTTTATTTAATTTATTTTTTTTAACACTTTTTTCTAAATTTCTTTAAATTTGTGGTCATCAGAATAAAACAAATTATAAATATATCTAAAAATATATTTACAGTAACATTTTAACATAAAAGAGAAATGTAATATCAAGATATCTCACCCCTTTAGTAAACATTTGCTCATTTGCATACAATATAAATCTGGAACTACATTCCAACCCATATAACACGATTAATATTCCAATATCAGCATTTCAACCTCTGAAGATCCAGTCTGATGTCTCCAGCATGTGCCAGTAACATACAAGATACTGTGGTTTCGGATCATATTATGAAAACATTGGAAGCTTCAACCATAATCTATGAGAATATTATCTTTACAATATACAACTGTATGTAGAATCATATAACAATTAACCGAGTGAATGAACAAATTCTAATGTTTATAATATAATCAGTCACTTGACATTACCAATAATATATCCTCGGATATCACTGCCATCAAAATATCACCATTTAAACTATCTCAAAAATATGTTATACTTGACAACCAGTTACTCTGAATCAATCCCTCCTCCCCCCATATCCTAGTACCTCAGTTTTGTATCAGTGAAATCCAATGCTACAACAGTTTTTAGAGTAAACTTTTAGCTATGAGGGAAGTCAAAGTTCGCATTCTGGTGTGTATTTATTTGTCCAAGAGATCTTTTGCTTCGCTGAGCTTGGCTGAAATGTATGGAGATCCTCCTCTGTCTGGGTGGTTTGTCAGCATCATCTTCTTGTAGGCCATCTGTTTAAACCAAAAATGTGATATAAAAAAGAATAAGCAAAGCTATAAAGAATACAGTCAAGAGAGGGAGGGACAGATAGAAAAACAAAAGGGATACTAAAACACACACACACACACACACACACACACACACACACACACACACACACACACAAAATGTTTCAATTGTATGCCCCACACCTTAAATATCTATAAGCACTCAGAAATATCCTTGCTATATGATTGTACTAACAGCACATGAAAACTAATATCTGACAGTATTACTCTAAATCAAAAAGAAAATAAAAAACTAACTCACTCTAACTTTTTGCTGATTGGCATTGGGTGAAATGTTTAGAATAAGAGCAGCTTCTCTCTTTGTCATCTTGGGTTCAAATCCTCCTTTGTAATATCTACTGTTAGCCAGACTCTGAAATGAAAAAGATGAACAGGTCCTATAGTTTAGTTTCTTAGAGATAGTACACATTACATTGGTAACACCTTTACTTATGAAGTCACAACTTTAACATACGTGAATTACAAATAAAGAATATCATAAAAGTTTAAAACTAAAATAATAATAACAATAAATACACATTTAGCTTATCACCCACATAAAATGCTTCAATAATTCTAAAAGAATTGCATAAACTGATTCATATAGAGACCTACACTTCTATAACTATATACCTCCACCAAATCTATACCTGCATCTGCATATAAAAAACCTACATATATATAAATATATAAATATATATATATATATATATATATATATATATATATATATATATATATATATATATATATATATATATATATATATATATATATAACAACAGTGATAAGAGGAGTTTTTCCATACCTTACTATCCAGCTTTGGCATGTTGGTAACTGCATCTGCCATCTTCTTTCCCAAGTTGGGCATTGTGCGAAGAACAAAACGAGCACCAAAGCCTACGGTGGCCAGGCCTAGGCCAGCCAAAATCATACCACTAGCCTGAAAGAAAAATAGTCATCATAATAGTAAATCTTTAGCTAAATCACATCTTGTACTTACTGATACATTATGGACTTTCAAAACTGTAATTAAGTAAATGCTAACCAAATAGCAATTTTTGTTATAATTCTTCTAATTATTTCCTGTGTTCTCTACATATGGTACACAGATAGTTGATATGACTTCCAAAGACATCAATAGCTTGAATTTACTTTAGATATGAAGAGCTAGGATTAAAGCAAACATCATATGCATTTATATTTCTATTGTATTTATTAACAAAGAGCAAGATAAAAGAGAAATCATAAATATACAAACAGCCATAACTATTTTCCAACAGAACACTGATTCACCAATTTCATATTATAGATCAACAACTTCACTTCTTAGGGTCATATTATTTAAGTACTAGTTATTTTGGTTTCATGAGTATGAGTACTACTATCAGTGCATATTTTCTGAGTGTGTAACATTCTGAAAATAATCAAAATAATTCCTTAATCAAACAAGATTAAGGTGATGTGGATTTTGATTAGATATATTACTGGAAAAGAATACATTTAAATACTCAAAAACTTATTGTTTTGAAGAAATATTTCTTTCATTATAATGCTCCTCCTTTTATTTGGTAGTCGTAACAACCGATGCCTTACTGAAAGATATTTACCTAACACTAATCATTTTCACTGATATCTAATCAGACTGTACAAAAATTAAACAAAGCAAAGTCATACAAACCATCACCACTGCAATAAATCCAGTTAACGCTGCAATTACCACACAACTCACATCCCAGCTTCTACAAACCTCACTACCGCATATTTCACCACAAAATGCATATCTTCACTCCCAATTCTTACCATACTCGGGCCGTGGACAACCGCCTCTCTCTTCTCCTCCAGATTGACGGTGACTGGTTGAAGGCGATGGCAACAGCAACAGTTTGTAGTTTTATATAACTAATCTTTTCTGGCGTGCGTTTTGATCCGGAGTTTCGTCTGCAGAGATAAACAAACCGTGGATTCGAGAAATTTCCGTTCTTTTAAGGGTGAAGGTCAATGTTCGTGCTTTTAGGATATGATTTACTTAAAAAAAAGTCTTTTAGTTATATATCAGCATCCTGCTAATGTGATTGTCATAAGGATATAAAATCAACATTTAGTATGTTATAATATTGAAAAATAATCCAGTGAGTATACAGAATAAAATGTTTATGTGTTCTTAGAAAAAATATCGTCCAGGTGAAAGTTGGTTGAGAAAATTAATACAATTGGTACATTGATGAGGTACTTAGTGTTTTGATTCGATTAGCATTTGGTATATATAAACCACAGCCATTCGAATTTTGATGAAATCGTGAACTCCTAATTGTTGTCACCTTGTTACATCAGCAGAAAAGCATCAAACATTGACGTCGAATTCGAAAGAAGAGCTCATTGGCAATATGAACAAATAATGAACCATATCATACTATCAATAGGCGAAAGTAATCACAAATCTCAATAAATGAAGATAATTCACCTTTTGTAAGTCTACTTTCGTAAGAACATATCCGCGCATCCGGATTCAGTTACAAGAACTCTGGTTGTAAACAAATCGTCAGCCGGGTTCAAGGGCCAATGTATTTCGGTAAAATAATTATATCTATATAATATCTTTAAACAACTGTTGCCTAACTGATGCTTTACTGTACAACGAGTATAGGAGAAATATGATGTCTGGATATTAAATTCATGGAAACAATTATATATGTCATGTTTATCTGCACATTAAGTGCTGCCTTTTCAGTTGCCTTAATTTTCAGTTCATTATTACATGTTAACGAAATTTTTGTTAAGGTAGTAGGCTGGAAAATACTTTGTACATAGTTGTATTGTATTTACAATAGTTTGAAGGTAAATGTATATAGATGAATGGACTCAAAAGCCGTATTTTTTTAATTCGTTTATTTGCCAGGTCTAGCATGACCTGGTTATCTCACATACGTCATGCCAGCAAGATCACACACTCCAGATGGCAAGCCGTGAGCACCCAGCTGAGAAAATTCTCATTATCAAATCAGATCCATTCTGAAGTTCGTGTACGGTTTGCTCCAAGTCCAACAGGTGAACAAGACATCATCTTTTGCATTAACTTTCAAGGTTGAATTAATCATTGTAGAGCAGGGCTTTAGATTTCCAATAATAATTAGACTCATGGTTTTTCTATCATATTAACAAGAAATTTGGTTTGTTCCAGGACATCTCCACTTAGGTGGATTACGAACAGCTCTCTATAACTTCCTTTTTGCGAAATCTAATAATGGGAAGTTCATATTGAGGATTGAGGATACAGATCAAGCCCGCCTAGTTCCTCAAGCTGCAAGAAAGCTTGAAGATATTTTGAATTGGTCCAACATTCCTCCTGATGAATCTCCATTACTTTCTGGTCCACGAGGACCTTATGTGCAGTCAGAACGCATAGAATTGTACCAGAAACACATACAAACTCTTCTTGAGAATGGATCTGCTTATAAATGTTTCTGTACGGATACGAGACTGGACTTACTGCGGAAAGATGCTCTCAGGCGACGAGAAACTCCCAAGTATGACAACAGGTGTAGGTCTCTTTCTTTTGCTAAGATTGAAGAATTTGAGAAGCAAGGAAGGGCACATTGTATAAGATTTAAGGTAATATAGTATTCTGTATTTTGAGATTTGTATTTTTATTTCATAAGTGATTGAGACTTTAATTGACTTTACATAATCTTAATTTCTGTGCAATGATAGAATTTGAAATGTTTACCCCCTTTTTTCATGTACTCAAGTTCTGCAGAAATGTTGAAAAAATTATCCAGTATATTTTTTATTACCTACGAAAACCACAAGCTAGGTTTTCATCTTTATGTAAGAGTAATAAACACGCTAAGCTTCATTTACTTCATTTCTTCATATAACAGTTGGAGGACATAACTGAGCCTTTCAACGACTTGGTCTATGGACCAATTTTATATAATGTGGCTCAGCAGGAAGGGGACCCTGTATTACTCAAGTCAGATGGATTTCCCACCTACCACTTTGCTAATGTTGTGGATGATCATCTAATGGAGGTTACGCATGTGCTGCGGGGTGTGGAGTGGCAGATATCAACACCCAAACATCTGCTTCTGTATAAGTATGAATGATGATTATAGTTGTTCCCTTCATGTTTTTAAAATGTCCTCCTCCTCTGCCTCCTCAGCCCCCTGTCTTTTCTTCCTTTGATATGTTCTTTGATTTATTATTATTTATTTGTGTAGTGATATAGTTTTGATTTACATTAATGTTTTGCTTTGATTTATATTAATGATTCACTTTAGAGCAAAAAAAGGAAAACCCTGAAATAATATCTTAGGAAAAAAAAGATGTCATCTGATACGTAATTACAAAGATAATATTACCTCCTTTGCAGAGCATTTGGCTGGGAGCCCCCACAGTTTGGACACCTTCCCCTGATCAAGAACAGGGATGGCACAAAGCTCTCCAAGAGACAGGGCGATCTACACATTGAGCGGCTCCGTGCACAGGGGTATTCTCCTGAAGCCATCATCAATTTTGTGACTGATATTGGTGGGGGTTTTGAGGACAGGGACCAATGCATGACTGATGACTGTGGAGGAACTGACTGAGAGGGTAAGGGAAATCTATATTTTCTTCTTGCACTATGTCTTGTCCCCCCTTGTCAAGTGGGAGAATGTTAGAATGATAATTCCATATACTAGAACTCATATTGTAATGTTATTTTATGTGAATTTCAATACTAGGAAAAGAAAGAAAGATATTTGTAATGCATCTTTGAAGGGAACTCTTTCTTTCTTGTCTTCTGTCTTGTAGTTTGTGTCATTTTGTTAGGTGGGAAACATTTAGATTGATAATTCTATATATTGGTCTGATGTTTTTATGAGAATTTAAGTACTACTAAATGAAATGAAGGTATTTTTAATGGATCCTCATTTTTGTATTTCCCTTTTTCATTGACATAACTAACAGCAGGTGTAAAGTAACTATAGATCCAGCTATAAATAATGTATGTGTGAAAGTTTACATTCTTATTTATGCAAACCCTCTATGCTTTACAGGCATACATTTCTGTTGTAATCAAAGTAATGAAATAACTTTCCATGATATAGAATGAAAATATAAAATTGCATCTACATCCAAAGATATCTGCATCACTCTTAACATCTACATCCACATCATGGATGTGGATGCTATGTGGATGTCTTCAGAGAGAGAGAGAGAGGAGAAGGAAGATAGGTGAAAGGAGAGTGGAGAGATAAGAGAGGAGAGTAGAGAGTAAAGAGTAAAGAGGAGAGAGGAGAGTGGTGAGTGGAGAGTTGAGAGAAGGGAGAGGAGAGTGGAGAGTGGAGAATGGAGAGGAGAGAGGAGAGTGGAGAGAGGAGAGAGAAAAGAGAGTGGAGAGAAGAGAGATGAGAGAGAGAGGAGAGTGTTACAAGGAGAGGAGAGTGGTGAGAGGAGATTGGAGAGTAGAGAGAGGAGAGAGTAGAGTAGAGAGGAGAGTGGTGAGTGGAGAGTTGAGAAAAGGGAGAGGAGAGTGGAGAATGGAGAGGAGAGAGGAGAGTGGAGAGAGGAGAGAGAAAAGAGAAAAGAGATGAGAGAGAGGAGAGTGTTAAAAGGAGAGTGGAGAGTAGAGAGAGGAGAGTGGAGAGATATGAGACAAGAGATAAGAAGGATAAGAGAGACAAGAGATAAGAGATAGGAGACAAGCAGACAAGAGATTAAGAGATAAAGATGAGAATAGAGATAGAGATAAGAGATAAGATGAGAGACGGAGATAAGGGATAGATGAGGAGACCAGAGAATAAGAGATAGATGAGAGACAGGAGATAGAGAATAGGAGATGAAAGATAGGAAGATAAGAGAGGAAGCCAGGAGTGAGGAGATAAGAGATGGAGTGGGATATGATTGAGTATAAGATTCTTGAAGAGAGTCGGATAGGTATGATGATATGAGAATTAATGAAATGAGAGATAGGAGATAGAAGGGAGAGATGAGAAGATATTGGAAATGTATAGATAAGAGGTGTAGGCGTGGAAAAGAGATGGATTGGTAGGATGAAGATGAATAAAGAAGATTAGGGTAATGTAGAGTAGGAGATAGGAGAAATAAGGGGTGATGATATGAGGGTAGTTGAAGAGTAGTGAAGGTGTGGGATAGGAGAGGTAGGGAGTAAGAGATAGGAGATGGGGGAGTTGAGGAAGTGGGAGGAGGGTATGAGTGGAAGGGGACGGGAGGAAACGAAGGAGAGGATTGAGATATGGGAGAGATAGGGAATAGGCAGTTGAGAGAGTAGGGGAGTTATCGAGAAGAGTGAGAGAGATGAGAGATGAGAGATAAGGAGTTAAGAGGGAATGAGGAGATGAAGGAAGAGACAAGAAGATAGGGTAGAAGTGAAAGGATAGGGGAGACAGAGATGAGAGAAGTGAGGAGAATGAGGATGGAAGGATGTAGGAGCTAAGAGAGCGTGGAGATAGGGAGGACACGAGGAGCGAAGTAAGGATATAGGGAGGAGATAGGGGTGAGGGAGGAGAGTAGAGAGATAGAAGGAGTGGAGTAATAGGGGAGACAAGAGAGGTAGAGATGGCAGGATGGGATGAGAGAAGTGGAGATAAGAGGATAGAAGGATGAGGTAGATAGGAAGCAAGAAGATAAGAGAGACAGAGTAGGGAGATGAAGAGGATAGGAGATAAGAAGATAGGGGAGATGAGAGGATAGGCGGACAAGAAGATAAGGATGGAGCAGGAAGATGAGATGAGGTAAGAGATGAGGAGATAGGAGATGAGAGATAGGAGACAAGAGGATCGGAGATGAGAGAAAGGAGACAAGAGATAAGAGATAGGAGGACAAGAGAAGGATATGCAGAAGGAATAAGGAGAATTAAGAAGGATATAGAGATCGAGGAGAAGATAGGAGATCAAGGAAGATAAGAGACGGGTGGAGATAGAGTATAGGAGATAAGAGATAGGTGGAGGAAGATATAGAGTAGGTGAGAGATATGAAGTTTATAGGAAAAGTGAGGGAGACAAGAGGAATAAGAGAACAGAGGAGATAGGAGTGAGAGATAGGAGAAGTAAAGAAAGGAGGTAGTGAGATGAGGAGATATGGCGAGACAAGAGTAAGGGCGGGAAGGAGATACGAGATAACGGATGATGAAAGAGACGGTAGGGAGAACAGAGATCGGAGTTAGGAGAGGAGGAGAGAAGGAGACAAGAGAATAAGAGATAGGAGGTTGAGGGAGATAGGAGATAGATGAGAGATAAGAGATAGGAGACAAGAGATAAGAGATGAGACAGAGATAGGAGATGAGATAAGAGATTGAGGAGATGAAGAGATAGGTAGACAATGGAGATAGGAGAGATATGGAAGGTGATGTAGAATTTAGTGTGGGATGGAGAAGTGGAGGATGGAGATGGGAGAGAATAGGAGAAGATGAGAGGGATGAGGGAAGGATGAGAGACAGGAGAACAAGGAGATAGGGAAATGAGAGATAAGTAGATGAGAGAATAGGAGATGATGATAGGGGAGATAAGAGATAGAGTTGGAGAGAGAATAGGGAGATGAGGGAGACGAAAGGGTAAGGAGATAGGGAGATAAGAGGGATAGGAGATGCAGAGAGGAGTGAAAGAGGATAGGAGAGTGGGAAAGAGTGGAAAAGGGCTAAGTAAATAAATAAACAGAAATTGAAGATTAATTAAAATTTCCTTGTTAAATACCATAATAGACACTGAAATACAGGTTAACAGCCTGGGGACGCAAACGATTGGTCCCCCAGAGATAGGAGATAAGAGATAGAAGATGAGAAGATAGGAGACAAGAGATAAGAGACAGGAAAAAGAGATGAGAGATAGGAGATAGGAGATAGGAGACAGAGATAATGAGATAGGTAGACAAAGAGATAAGAGATAGGAGATGAGAGATAGGAGACAAGAGGATAGGAACAAGAGATAAGAGACAGGAGATGGGAGATAAGGGAGATGAGAGAGATAGGAGACAAGAGATAGGAAGATGAGATAGGAGCAAGAGTGAGAGATAGGAGATGAGAGAATAAGAGATAGGATGAGGAGATAAGATAGGAGACAAGAGATAAGAGATGAGAGATAGGAGATAAGAGATAGGGAGAAAGAGATAGGAGACAGGAGATAAGAGATAGGAGATAGAGAAGGAGACAAGAGATAAGAGACAGAGATAAGAGAATAGGAGATGAGAAGATAAAGAGATGAGAGGATAGGAGATGAGTGATAGGAGATATAGAGATAGGAGATGAAGAGATAGGAGATAGGAGACAAGAGATAGAGATAGGAGACAAGAGATAGGGAGATGGGAGATAAGAAGATAGGAGATGAGAGATAGGAGAATACTGAAGAGAATTGGGAGGATGAGAGATAAAGATCGAGAGATAGGAGACGAGAGATAAGAGATCAGGAGATGGAGAGATAAGTGATGACGAATAAGGGAGATGAAAAGATAAGGAGAATGAGGGAGAGTTAGTGGATGGGGAGAGATGAGAGAATAGGAAGACAAGAAGATAAAGAGATAAGGGAGATGAAGAATAAGAGGAAATGAGAGATAGGAGATGAGAGATAGAGATGGAGAAGATAGGAGATGAGTGAGATAGAGATAGAGATAGGAGATTAGAGTAGGGAGAAAGGGAGATGGAGGATAAGGAGACGAAGAGAGAGATGGGAGATAAGAAAGATAGGAGAATGAGAGATAAGAGATGAGGATGGAGAGATAGAGATAGGAGGATATGAAGAGATAGGAGATAGGAGACAAGAGAGATAGATAGAGATGGGGAGATAGGAGATAAGAGATCAGGAGATTTAAGAGAGATAGAGAGATAAGAGATAGGAGATGAGAGGGAGAGTGAGAGAGAAGAGAGAGTGAAAGAGGATAGGAGAGCTGGAGAGTGGAAAGGGCTAAGTAAATATACAACAATAAATGAAAGATTAAATTAAAATTTCCTTGTTAAATACCATATAGACACTGAAATACAGTTTACAGCCTGGGGGACGCAAACGATTGGTCCCCTTCCTGTATCCCTAGTAACGCGGATAATTGAAATAGTAGTTTAATTTGACTGATATTTTCTTTTCTTTATATCTTACTATAGTAGGTATATATTTTTACTCACGTCTTAGTATTGTAAAGTTTCAGCTATCTGTGATGGTTAAAAGTATTTGCATATGCGTCTGTGTCTACAAATATTGATAAGTGATATACTCATCTTTATCTTCAAATATTGAAAAATAAACATCTGCTTGAAAGTGTAATGTTTTGAAGTAGTTCTCCTTCATGTTTCAGTTCTGCTTGTCTAGGGTGACAACTAATTCTTGTCGACTTGATATGGAGAAAATTAATTGGTTCAATCAGATGGACCTTCAGAGACGACTACAGATTGCAGGAGAACGAGATCTCTTAGTAGACGAACTGCGGCATCTTGTACAAACCACTTATGGAATAAGGTTGGTGTCCTTGGAAAATTTTGAATAGCACTTCCCTCCCAAAACCTAGCTCGTTGTCGTTATGGGAGGGCTTAGGAGACGAGGACTGAGACCCAATGTAGAGGATTACACCTACCTTGGCCCTCAGCCCTTGCCTCAACTAATTTTGCTTAGTTCTTTCTTCTCTTCCCTCCTCTTCCGTATCTTCTTTATTCCCTTCTTCTATCCCATTCCTAAGGTGTGAGAGCCGTGCTGAAAGGATGAAAGGCTGGCTTTGTGTCAGTCACAAACGGCCTCCGGGAGCCATGGGCATGTTATATAACCATATCTACCAATATCACCTCTTATCCCTATTCCTTCCCCAGTCACAGGTACAATGCAATTTATTTAATTGCTCTACCTTCTTAACCTTTCCCACTTATTAATCACTGCTCTACTTCATTTACTTCCCTCCTTTCTCTTTTCATTAACATACTCTCTTACAACACCCTCTAATCTTTGATATATAACACCGTCCCCTCTCCCCGGATTCTTCTCTTACTCTTCAACATCTATCTCTATTCTTCCTTGAACATTTTTCCTATACCTTCCCCAGTGACAGATACACTGTAATTCACTCGAATGCCCTACCCTCCCCTTTATACTAATTTCTGCTCTAATTCACTTGCTCCCCTATTCCCCCTTTTCACTACCCTACTATCCTATAATGCTCTTAAACCTTTGACATCTAACACAAATATGTTTTATTGTAATCTTTAACTCCCCTTTGCCCTTTCTGACGCAATGCTTTACCATAGTGCTACATGACCTTTGATGTCTAGCACATTTATTTTCAAACATTAAACATTAAAACAGTGAAGAACACTTGTGAACTGTAGTGTTACCGAGTGTTACAATCTTGGCATAGAAACTGGTAAAGACATATGCAATAGAGAAAAAGAAGTTTCAAAGATTTTCTTATATCTGAACCAACACTGAACAGCATTTCCATTTAAGGGGGCCGTCGCGCTCGAGAACAAAGTTCTTCAGTTATGATCGGATATTTGTGATTTCTTAATATGTTATACATACATATAAAGTGATAAACACCACCAAGTTTCGTATAATTTGGATAAAAATAATAAAGTTATTAACGAAAAACAAGTTTTTGAACAATCACAGCCTCAATGGATAAAATGGCATTTATCCATTGAACAAATTTGTTGAAAAAATTACCACCTATAGTCTATAGCAAAGACCGGAGTTTTAAATTTCGTTTTAGATTAGTGGGAATTTATTTTTTTCTAAATGCCGTCTTATAATGAATTTTAAAAATACTGATAAAATGTTGACAAAAGTTTTTTTGAGATAATGGGCTCTGAAATTTTGGATTTCTCTCGATTATTATTATATTATTATTATTATTTTATTTTTTTTTATTTTTTTTTTTTTTTTTTTTTAGAATTCTAATCTCTGCGGCAATCTTGCTGCATTCTGTTGCATTCACATGGTATTCTGAAGTGTAGCTGGTACATTGTCCCCTCCTTTTGCAAAGTACTAATGGTAATAACTGCACATAATTGTGGAATTACCGCCTGTCAACACAGGTTTTCCAGTACCTAACCTGGCCACGTGAGGTATTTAAATGTATAAAAAACTATTGAAGCTGTGATTAAGGAGTATTTCTGATCATATTACGGTTATTAAATAATAGAATAACATCTACAGTTAGTATTGTCCCCTTACTTTGTTATATGGGCCTACTCTGCAATATGGTGTTATGGAGGTAGTAGCTGACAACCTTTCTCTCTGATTTTCTGGTGGAATTTTGTCTCCCAGAGCCCCAGGCTTGGCGATCAGCTGATGGGTAAACAGAGTTGCCAGCTAGCTACCAGAGAATTCCAAAATAAACTGAAAAAAATACGAAAAAAACAACAAATTTGTCAAGTAAATTTTCATGGACGCGACAGTGTAAACATAAGTCATAACTCCAATTTTACATATTTAGCAAAAATATTACGTCATGAGATTGCCAAATCCCACCAGATTACAGGAGATTAAAAAAAAAAAAATCGAGTATTTTTGAAAATTTTCGTTACAACGGCCCCCTTAAAGGGAGTACCTTAGTGTCCCTTCCTGCTTTATATTTTGATCACACTTATTGTATCAGTATTTAGATACCTTTGGACAGTATCTTAAAATTCTGCTGATTCCTTCCTAGTCATCCTTAATCCTTAATTTCTTGTAATTTTATTATATTCACATATTCTCACCATGCATTATTATTATTTTTTTACCCCACTGACATGCAAGCTAAACACTTGTCCTCAATGCCAAGTTACCAGGAAAATGTAGTGGTGCTTGTATTACTGTTTTGTGCAGTGTCTGCACGTAGATGGCTCTACAAGTGTTTAGCCAGGAGTCAGCTAGTAGACCTTGTGACGTCACCTGATTTCACCATTCCTTGAGTTTGTGAGGTAGCACTTGTAACTGGTTCATTGGTGACTTAGTACTTGTGGAGCCATCTATGTGTAAAGACAATGATAAAATAAACTCATAATGGGCATAGCATGTACGTACGTGCCATTCCTGGCAGCATTGGGTTAATATGTGCTTTACAGTATTTACAGACCTTTACCCATCTGTTTTTTGCATTTTTTCTTATTTCCAGTCATAGGTGTTGTGCTACCCAAGAGAGTGTCCTCACCACAGAATATCTAACAAGTGTTTTGGTTTGGGGTCAGCAGAGAATTACAAGACTTGATGATCTTACTGCCCCAGAGTTCACATATATTTGGGTCATTCCAGAGGAGCTTCCACTTGACCAGCTGCCGGAGATGGCGTGCAGTCATGGTTGGTGTTGGATGTGCTGTTGCAGTGATATTCATTTAAGTTCAGTTTATTTTGGATATTAGACTAGGAGTCACCATCTTTACTTGTAATTTTAGAGTGGCTTTTACATTTGGAGTTACTGGAGAGGTAGAGTTAAGTTTCTAGATGGTAGATTTTCTTATTAAGACAGATAGCCATTCTTGAACTGTTGCATTTCTTTGTTTTTTCTCCACTTACGAGAATTGGTTAAGTATTGGAATTAATTATACAGTTCACTGGACTGTCATTTAATGGTAATACACCCAGGTAGATGACATTTTGCCATGAATATTGCTGTGAATTAAACACTGGGGAGAGGATGTTAATATATATTATTTAAGTTACTTGAGGAAACAGCTTGCTTTTATTTCCTGAGACTATTGACATTTAATTAAATGATACAAGGAGTTTAGTTATCTTCCATTGTGGAGAGCAATTCATGTTGATCCAATCAGTATCCAAACATTATGTTGAACACCTTAAATATTTGCTTGACAAGTCTTTCAAGTGTCCACTTAACTACAGATGTTAAACCTCATTTGTCTGCTTGTCAGTCTGAGATCTTTGATGAATGGTACAGATGTTATGTGGATTATATTGTCAACCTCATTTTGTACTGGTAAATCATTTACAGATGCAGATATAATGTCTATGTATGATATTCCTTTTTATAGATACACCATTAAGATATTTGTATTTGTCTTTCAGCTGATGTTTTGCAGTATTTTCTAGAGACTATTGTTGTCATGCCACCTGAAAAATTTACAAAAGAGCAGATCCCAAAGTATGTAAAATTGGTGGCAAAGTGGTTCTCGCTGAAAACTCCAGTTCTGATGAAGCTGTTGAGGATGGCCATCAGTGGTCAAAAGGTGAGGCATCGGTCTCGTGACATATTGGTTGCAGAATCTTTCTTAAAAAATAATTGCACAGGATAGGAAACATGGCCGGGAAATATACTAAAGAGATGATTCACTTCAGAGCAGAAAGGTGGTCAACTTTTCATGGTGCATAAATGAACTGGATTGGATTTTCTTTTTTCATGCTTTTTTCCCCCTAAAATTGATGACATTGGGTACAGAGAGATGCCGATATTTAATGCAGCTCATGAAAGATAATGAAATTATTAGGTATCATTTCACTTCAGAATACAAATGCATAGCCAGTCAGGTAGATTGTTGGCAATTAAAATTACATTGTCAGAGCCCTCTTCAAAGTATAAATGGGTTGCTTAGTTGAGAGAAAAAAAAAATAACGGAACAACCTTGAAAATATTTAATTATCTAAGCAATGACCATAATACAAAATTCAGTAACCCAAGTCAAATTTATATTCCAGGAAGGACCACCTGTTGGAGAGATGCTATCTATCTTGGGGAAGGAGACGACTATAGAGAGGCTTAAACATGCCTATGCATTACTTGACAAGAGATAACTGTGTATCCTTGGAACACATATAGTTCTAGTGTTGTGTATAGTAAAAGATTTTATTGGAAATTTTGTTTTTCTTTGGTATTAATTTTCATTTACAGTATGACAGGAGAAAATGACAATTAACATTCATATAATTATAGTTGGTTTGAATTATGCCATCATGTTTGAAAACAAATGCAGTTTATGCAAGAATGAAAGAATGGTAATTCATACTGACTTGTTCACCATAGAAATTTATTTTCAAAATTTACAGTATCAAGGTCACATGTTATTAAAATAATACCTACTACACTCTCCTATGTATAAATATTTTATATATAAATTTATACATTACATTTGAAAATCTGTCATAGCAAGCTGTTAAAACCTAAAGCGTTAGGGATGTCTACAGCTCTCTACAAGCTTTTTCTCTGCTTTCCCATACCAAGTTCTTAAGCCTTGCTCTTGCTTTGGTAGATGTTTTGTTTGTATAGGTAATAAATATATTTCCTTCAATTAATTAGCATGAAAGTCAAAGTGTCTCTTATGGTACAAATCATAAGTAAAGTATGATCAGTTTATTTCCATTTACAAATATATATATATACACATACTGACAACTTCAAAGACAAATATTAAGACTCTACCTTTGGTAAAGTGTTACAGTCAAATCCAGGGATAATGTAACCATAAAATAAAAATATATAGATTCTCTCCCATTTCGGGTATCAATCAGCATTCAAAATGCTGACCAAAACACAACACAGACATTTACATTCAATTACCTTGATACAGCTCAGAGAAAAAAAAAAAGCTTTATATACATGCAGGACATCAGCTTATCAAAGTCAAAATGAGACAGAGTGGGGGAAAAATTGTTCAAGAAAGAGAATAGTCAAAATCAGAATTTTTTTGAAGTCCATTATACCAGCTAATCAACAAAAGGATCTTAAGCTGATAATCTGAGACAATATGCAATACATTATAGAGAGATTTACTGTCTTACACTACACTGAAAATCATCATCCCTTCATTGATGCTTTTCTTGCTATTTCTGGATAGTTTTTAAATTCTCCAGTGTAGTGTAATGGTAAATTTACCTCACATATGACTGCTCTTCACTATACACAGTATTGCCTCTTAGGTGTTTATACTACGAGCAAAATCAAATCATTGATAACTTAATTACACATAAAAGAGAGGTGCATCAGCCTGAACACACAATATATGCTTTGACTTTCATACAAACAAGATGAATAAGAAAAAATTAACCAGATTCTCCATGACACCTTATATCATACCAATAATAATAATCAAAAACAGAAATCCACCTTAACTAGCAAATCAAAATCAGCATCCCATTTTCCCTTGAACAACATTAGGTCATGATTAATGCCCAGTGCAACTAGCCTGTTTCATGAAAAGTATAAAGGCAGCATCACACTAGTAACATTTTTATTTATAGATATTTCTTAAATATTTGTTTTCTTGCATCATGAGAAAATACTAAGAACTCGGAACATGGACAACACAGTTGAAGTCACCTATTTTCTGAATCCTAACAGATTAATTGGTCCTTTTTCAAGATGCATATCCTTACTGCAACCATTATTATTATTATCATTATTATTATTATTTTTTACATACGTAAGTAAAATCTCAAAAGATCCTCCTAGAAGAATGAGGATAATACACATAATTTAAAGCAGGGATATTCGTAGAGTGTATGTCCCTCTCCAAACATGCCAGGCTTATTCAGGAAGATGAACTAGCTGTAACATGATCATGATAATCTTAAAAAGAGAAGAGAGGAGAGAAATGAGAGAGAGGGAGATGACCTCACCATGTCATGTCATCACAGTTATAAGTACATAAGCAAAAAGTGAGCTAGTGTGACACTGTCTCGGTGATCACTACAGACTGACAGGTGCCATTAGATCTGCATTCCCTTTTGAAAAACCCATTAATTCAGTAATGAGAATCGGTGTACATTAAAAAGAGCACAAACCTAACAGACATTATCATGACCTCTACACAACGTTTCTTTTTAGCATTTTACACTTCTTTGGCTGGAAGATAGTTAGAGGGAATCAATAGCATACTTTACTACCCTTGTTATAATACTGCAGTGAACTATGATGCTGTTGGGGGAAAAGACTAATATACTCACTATGAAATTTTTGGGGAGGGAGTGAGAGAAAAAAAAAAGAGATGAATTTGAGTAAAATAGTTATAAACATAATATTATCTATACAATTTGCATATGACAGAGAAGGGCTAGTTTTGCCCTTATATTTTTTTCCTAGAAATACAGAGGATCATTGGAAGACCCCTCTGTATGTAACTGGCACTTACAGCTTTAATTACAAAGAAGGAAGACTACTCTAATGTATGAATGAGAAAATAATTAAGGTAGAATTCAAAGAAAGAAATAGAACTGTATATCTAAAGTTGTTCTCTACTGGAACACAAAAATATTCTTAAATTTTGTAAAAAAAAAAAAATAATAATAATAATAATAAAAAATAAAAAAATAAATAAAATGAGTATAAGCCACTTGTACAAAGACTCTGCAAAGGCCATATCCTTTTGTGTAATAGTCTTGATTACATTGTGTTCACTACTTTATTTATTTCAATGGGAAATGTTTTTCCCAATTCTGGAATCACCTATTACACGTCCCCTCTATTTATTCCTCATTTTATACTGAAGAACACTACATTTTTCCTTTTCAGAAAAATAACCTCACCATAATTAATAGCCACCCCACTGCAACTGCAAAATCTTCACTAGTTTATAATATCTATGTTGACTGGCTCAGTTCTTGTAATATTGTTAAGTTTTCAAAGGCGCTAAAATCAATGCTTTGTCTCGTATCGCTGAGTATGCTTCTTACCTGAAAATAAAACATATCAAGTTACTCATAAGGATGTAAAATATCTGAAAGAAAATTATAATCATGTCATAAACTGTTTAATTTATTTGTATCATTATATGCTTAAGCAATGGTCATCATTATATGCATAAGCAATGTTCATTAACAGTTCAAGATAAAAACGAATGTACACAGAAAATAAAATGCTGGGGTACTATGAAAAGAATTAACCCAATGATGCCAGGATGACAGTTCCGTGCATGCCACGTGCACTGTGATTTTATGATTAATTTTGCTTACACACTGTTGGCTCCAAGAGAGCTTAGTCACCTCGGAGGTAATTACCAGTCCTACCTGATCTCATCTGTTTACCCTTTTCATTTAATTTTGGAAAGATTTTTGTATCACATTTCTTATTGCTATTAGTATTATTAAAACACCACAGTAATCAAAATGTTAGAAAAAACAAAACAAAACAAAACAAAACAAAACAAAACTATATAATAACAATAATAATGATATCAATATCATGTGAGGTCAGGGTACGCTTACTAACTGAATCCTTGGTACTTCAGCACTTGAGTCATTTATGTGTAAATAAAATTCACAACACAAATTGGAGCGGACAATGCAATTACCTGTCTCCATTGGGTTAAATACTTCTTTCCTATACCTTCATATGCAGCTTAAAACAGCACTAATAGCCCTTACCATGTTTGTGAAGAAATTAGCATGCTGAGGCTTCTCGGCATATTTTTCATACTGATCTAAACTGTCGTGGAGTTTGAGGGTGAGGCTGTCATAGTTATTCCGGACCACCTCTAGAACCTATATTTTTCATAAAGATAAAACAAAATGAACAAGGCTTTAATATACAGTGCTTCCAGAAATAAATAGAGCTGTACAATAGTGTAAAATATCCTGGCAAACATTTAATAAGAATTGTCACCTGTTCTTATTACTGGACTACTTCCAATACAATTGACATTTTTATGTAATATGCTGGTATTTACTGTATACTGTGAATTGTTATGAAAATATTTGGCCTCCTACATATACTGTCAATCTATTTGAGTAAATGTTATCATTTCTTGTATATAAATATTTTTCTCCACCTTTATATTACTTGCAAGTTTTACCAACCTGTTCTTCTGTTAGTGTTGATACTCCATGTTCCTGACTCCATTTGTCTAACTTGGGGGTGAAGTGGTTTATTATTGATCTGTAACAAAAATGGTTGTTTTAATTTGTTGTTCTGAAGAAAATCTTAAAGGCAAAAACAAAACCTGTTTTCATTTACTTTTAGATATCTTCTAAGATAACACAGTTTAAAAAACTAAAGAAACCAAGGCAAAAGTTTATTCTGATGAAAAAGAGAATCAAATTAATATAGACTGAAAAGAAATAGTAGCAGTTCTTACATTATTATAACTGTTCACACAACATCGCTACACTCTCTCCACATCATGAACTCACCTGACATTGCCTAGTGAGTTTGTGAGCTTTTGTGCACTTTCTTTGTAATCTCCATCTGTTCTTGAATATCTTAAGCTCATGGAGTACATGTTCTCAAATACCTGCAGGTTAAAAACAAACAAAAAAAAAAAAGTAAAAGTTAATTACACTTTCAGAAGGAAAGATCTTTATCAAGTACAAAAGAATCAATTGTTCATTGTATTTCCAAGTGTCATGCAAGAAATTACCTCATGTCCCCATATGATACACGACAATAAAGAGATCTAACCTGGTGCATCCTCATGATTTCATAGTAGAGCTCATCATAGCTTGATGGCGTTGAGAGGAAAGTGTCACCGTATGTGATGAACAAATTGAAAATATTCATGACCTGTGTGGAGATGCTTATATATTAACCAGACAAGTAACATATGTGTGAATTAATTAGTAATTTCACCACAATTATGAACACAGATGATAATTTAATGTTAAAATATAATAAATATCTTGAAAACCCCATTACAAACAGTCAGAATACACACTTTATGAAAAAGATTTAACAAAACAAAGGAAAATTAAATCATAAGCTACTGCAAAGAAAAAAATATATATATATTAGTGAGAGAAGATAATTCATTGCTATTCGTTTACCTGATGTGCTAACTGGAAGATGTTCATTTTTTTTGCCAGATATGCCTCATTGGTGACAAGGAATTTGGCAAGAGCAATCAGGGCTGCCCACAAGTCTTTCCAGTTGTAAGGCAGTCGGACTGAGTTACGCTTTTGGTAGCAGAGGAGACGGTGAACAATTCTCACATTCAGGAGGAACAGCTCCAGGGGTAGTTTCTTCATCATATGAGACATCATGAATTCTACCATTACATCTGAGAATATTAATTGGTTTTCAAATTAGGTTGGACTTACCAAAAACTTATAGCCTCAGGATATACTTGAGCAAACTTATCTCAGCACAATCTTGCAAACACTATTGCATTACAGAGAGGATAAACAAATCCGTCGAGGAGGAGATAGGGATAGGAAAAGGGAGAGAAAGAAAGAGGAGAAAGAAAAAGAAAAAGGAGAAGAAAAAGAACAAAAAATAGAAATAGTAAAAGAGGAAGAAGTAAAAACCTAACCAATATACAATATAACACCTGTGTTAAACCATTGGACCTGGATTATGTTGCGGTCATGTCATGGAAAAACTCGAGTCGAGGGGCGGGTGACGTGAACATGCCGTCAATTGTGTAAGTTTGTCGCAGCCTAGGTGATGTGAAATTGCCATCATGAGTGAAGGCCAGGGTGATGGAAAAGAGTCACAATGAGTGCACAAATCTCTTGGAGTGTGATTTGATTTGTTTAGCGCTTAGAAGGGGGGCTTTAGCATTAGTCCCATTGATAAACAAATGTGGAATATCACTTGCATAAGCAATGACTGGAAGAGCGCCGGCTCCAGGGAGGAAGCCATTTTCATGCTGGGCACCGTATTCCTGGCTGCTGTGACCGGCATTGCAGGTTGTATTATGTAATATTGAAAATTATGGAAAAATGAGATATATGACAGAAATAACCAAATGTTCCTTTTTTTTTCTTGCACCTAGTTATTTACTACACAGAGAGATGATATGGACTCTGCAAGGAAAATAAGCTATTACCATCTGGATAAAGCAAATCAAAGACAATTATGGACATTGGAAAATGGCAATAAAGCTAAAAAAGTTTACATAAAATCAATTTGCAAAGGGGAGGCACAGAGTCTTGTCAGCACTCATGGATTTTCATGTGGGCCTGGCCTACACGCTGGACGCCCGAGATGTTGACCACTTACATAATCCATTGCCCAAGTTTCTGACACTGTGATTTCTGTGACACAACCAGATCCAAAGAGTCAACTGCTCACACACCTAATACTGCACATGCTAATGGACGAGCATGGGGTGTCTTCTCTGGTATGACTTTGCGATGTCTCATGGGGAGGCGGTGTAAGGGCACTGTGAAT